CTATTCTATTCTATTCTATTCTATTCTATTCTATTCTATTCTATTCTATTCTATATTAGCACAGTAGTAGTTAGAATTTAGTATTGCAGGGTCAACTCTGCTGATGGCCAGCAGTTTGATCCTGACTGGCTCAAGGTTGACTCAGCCTCCCAAGGTCAGTTAAATGAGGACCCAGATTGTTGGGGGCGAGAGGCTGACTCTAAACCCCTTAGAGAGGGCTGGGAAGCCCTGGGAAGCGGTATAGAAGTCTCAAGTGCTATTGCTATCTTCTTCTCTAATCTAAGATGGGTCTAGGAGGGGAATGTATAAAAACTGTAGAGCAAATAGAGTGCATGAATTCAGCACCCATACTGGTTTCTGGAAGAACTCAAACACAGCACATTGCACCTGTGCCAAAAGTATTGTGCTGGCTGCCAAATCCTTTTCAAGCCAAAGCCAAAGTACTGATTACCGTTTGGCTCAGGCCCAGCCTATTTAAAATAATGGTTCTTTGGAGATGATCTCGCCCCAACACACCTGAGGGGGATGCCCTACCTGGCTACAGGCCTCCCTCGAGGGGACTCCAGGCTGAGGTGAAGAAATCTGACCTCTTCCTGGCTTGTAAAGAGCCCTAAATCATAATTATTAATATTTTTTAAAAAGTGAGTTTTTATTGTTCATTTTAATTGCTCTTAATTGTTGCTTTTAAATTGTTTTTAATATCCCTGGATTTAATTTTGATTGTATCTCTTATGGAAAATGGCTGAGAGATCTGGATTGCCAACAAAATTATGTGTAATAAATAGTCATCCCTTGAGGGTAAAAAGCTTTAAAGCCACCTCAGTTTCTCCACTTGGCAAACCTGGCTTGCGATGTTCATAGGCCCATCTCTGGCAAGCAGGAGCAAAGTTGGCATTTATTTATTTTTCTGTGCCCGAAGTAGCCAGGGACAAAATTGCTTCCATAACAAAGGAGGTGGCAGTTTACTCCAACCTCTGGCTTGGCATTAGCAAGGCCGACTTGGTGAGTTTTCACGAGGTCCTGCCCCTGTGAAGGAAATGGAACTCAAGCCCCAAAACCGGAATTGCCATAACCAACTCCCCGTGGGACAGCTCGCTGCAGGGCAATCCGACTATTTAATTTAAGTATTTAAAATAATTACAAAATTATTTTAATTTTTGTCATTCACATTTCATTTTGTCTCTCCTTTTTTTGCACCCTCTCTTTAATGAGTCCATCGCACCATTTCTATGATATTAGAATAGAATAGAGCTGGAAGGAACCTTACAGGTCTTCTAGCTCATGCAGGAGAACCTACACTATTTCAGATAAGCAGGGGTGGGATTCTACCAGTTCGCATCTATTCCCTAGAACCGGTTGTTAACCTTCTAAGCAGTTCGGAGAACCGGTTGTTAGAAGAAATTACAGGGCTAATCCTGTAAGGAAGGCAGGAAGGAAACATTCTGGTGTTGCTGACAGAAACTGCCTCTCCGTTAACCCTTATTACATTCTTGGCAGGACTAGACTTCCTGTCTCAGGAACTTCTCTGGAGTTATTTTTCCCTCCTTTGCTGGTACTTTGCTTGCGTGGAGGGACCATTCAAAGTTACAGTGGCACTGAAAAAAGTGACTTATGGCCGTTGTTCACACTTACGACTGTTGCAGCATCCCCACAGTCATGAGAGGCCAGGCGATCTGTAAAGTGTGAAAAATAGTCATAAGTTGCTTTTGTCAGAGCTGGAGATAACATAACACAAGTGACAAAGGCTTCCCAAGGTCACAAAGCCAACTCCTCAGTCCCAATAAAACCCCTTTTATTTAGGTTAAAGGGAAATCCTGGCAAACAGCTGCCTTTTTCTCCTTCTCTCTCTCTCTCCTCTCCTTCTCTCTCTCCGTCTCCTTCTCCTCCTCCTTCTTTTTCTTCTCTCACTCTCCTCCTTCTCCCTCGCTCTCCTTTTCCTCCTCCTTCTCCATCTCTTTCCCCTTCTTCCTCTCCTCTTCCTTCTCCTTTTCCTTCTCTCTCTCCCCCTCTCTTTTTCCTCCTCCTCCTCCTCCTCCTTCTCTTTCCCTCTCCTCTTTCTCATCCTTCTCCTTTTTTTTCTCCTTCTGCCTCTCCTTCTTCTCTCTCTGCCTCTCCTCTCTCTCTCTCTCTCTCTCTCTCTCCCTTCTCTCTCTCTCTCTCT